GCTAATATAGTACTTACCGGAATCTAGCCGGTGCTGGGCTCTAAATAATTTGGGCATCCATGTGGTTCTGCAGTGTAATACATGCATCTCCTAGCGAGTTGGTGATTGGTTATTTCATCAAAGAGCAGATGTAAAATATTTACAAGCATCTCAGAAGCCTTAAGCAAGGCTGTTGCATAGAAAGGAGAACCACATGCAAAATAATGTACTTGGCTGCAAGGTACAGTAAGCGCACTGACAGAATTTAAAAGAACAGATTCAGTGAGTAGACATATGTTCTGTGACACTTATGGGGATTTCCATTTTTCTTTTAGATTGTCAGAGATAAAATACAAACTTGGCAGCTCTTCAGAGGCCCTAAGCACAGCAAAGACACAACTGGCAAACAGTCAGAGATGCCGGGCAGGAAAATAGATGCGCAATATTCAGCATGACATCTTCAAAGACTTATGTATTCTTAAGTATTGTCAGAAATAAAGAATAAGTTCACACCTTTGACATGTCAGAGCCGGAAAGTGAGGCAAAACAATGCCCTCGTGGGAGACATTAAAAAGTCAAAGAATATACAAAATATTTAGTTTGACATTTCTTTGCATTTTTTAAGGGAAATGGAAAATAGTGGTTAGGATACTGTAGATGTGTATCCTTCAAAAGAAAGGGAAAGGCATGAAACATTCATAAAGTATCCTAAATAAACAATTTTAACGACTTAATATCTTTGCTGACAAGGTTTTTTCCATGATGTTCTTGGGCTTTTAGCAGACCAGGAAAAAGAGTTTGATTACCCTCTATGTTCCATTTGGCTTGTTGTAATGTGATTATTTGCTAATTTGGGGAAATATGCACTGCTACACCTCAATATCTACTGAAATGACAAGGGCCTTAAGGCAGGTCCTGCATTATTACCCAATCCAATCTTGAGGCCTTGTACTGTAGAGGAGCCCTGAGTGGAAATCTAGTTTTAAGACCTTATTATTTCAGTTCATATTGTGCTTACATGCTGCATATTCCTAAATAAATTTGTGTTTAATCAAATTTTCACCATCTAATTGACACAGAGAAAACCTTAGGCCAGGTAGCATTGCGGCACAGGAGTACTTCTTGGTTCCTGGGGCTCTTGGCAAAGTATAATTAAACTGCCATGTGTAGTCTGCTGTGTGCACGGTGCTTGATAGGTATTTACATGACATGGTACATGCGCAATATGGAGAGAGTTGGAAGAAGTGGGGGTCAGCAGCATTTAGATTAGATTTGTGAATAATCAGGTGGAAATACTTTAGTTAATATTAGTTTTGGTCATTGATAAATACAAAAATCACTAATATTTAAACTCCATTTACTGCAGAGGACTTGAATCTGGATTGAACCTGCTGAATTTTTTAATATTGAATTTTTCATAATCCATTTTATGGTAAATAATTATATTTCTCACACTTTTTGTGCAGTTGGCATATTTATTCATCCTCACATTTCAACAAATAAAAAAAAAAACCTTATTGCACAAAAACAAGTGTAATGCACATATATCTGTATAAAATCTGCATAATAAGAAATGCAAGAACTAACTTTTAACTTATTTACCATTTATGTGCACAAATGAGATAATAACGCTGCTTCCCACCTCCATGGTTTTCATTTATGATTGATGCGATCTGATTTTGTCCTGTAGACCACGTTAAAGAAACAAGATGCTTATAAAAAGCATTTTACATTTGACTCTAATAGTTTTACTGTGCTAATCTCATAAAATGTTGGGAGCGCACACACAATAGATTTTTCAGTTTCAACTTGTTTTATTGGCATGACATGTAAATACATCTGTGTTGCCAAACAGTATAAAAGAAACTAGTGGATGATGAAAAAGACAGTTATGGTAATTGAAATTGAATCTGATGATAGAAGAACATAATTTTGTGTGTGTGTGTGTGATTAATGATGTCTGACGCTCCATACATGTTACATATATAACACATATATGTCATTAAGGACAATTGGATATAGGTCTTGTATTATCAAGCATGGTCATAAAGCATAGAATAGCTTTTGCAAAACTTACAAACATTTATCTCTAATGGTTTAATGTTTAACACATGCAAAGGAAATGTATCTGTTTCAATGATTGGGTTTGCAGTGGAGATAGATTGGATGGTTTTCATGATTTTATATAATCTTTAAGTCTTCAAATGCTGATTCTCCAGTTGGTAATGTATGTGGAAGGTATGGAAGTTACATACAGCTAGCAGTTATTTAATCCAGAACTTAATCAGATCATAATATGCAGTTAAAATACATTGTGCTCAGGCATTTTGTCTCAAACTGTCATCCCCACTGGTGGTGATATTGCCCGACTTTTTCTGGACAGATGTTTCAGGTCAATCCTCCTTACTGTCTGTGGTTAATCCTCTGTGTTCTCTGACACAGAGTTTTGCCAACAGTTACAAGCTGCAGTATTTATTGTGACCACACTCTTGTTGAGCATGTGCTGTAGTGCATTTTCAACTCCTACTTTTGCTGAAGGCATATCACCCTCATCCTCTTCCTGTGTAGTTCGGCCTCATTGTGGAACTTGCTAATGATACGGGGGACTTTTATTATGTAACTGGCTGCACTGAGGGACAGATGTTGCTGCAGGCTCTTTAATTTGTCTGAGTCAAATTAGTATACAATGAATTTTATAAACCCTCGAGGGTCCTCATTCAATCAGTGTTGCCTTATGTTTTCAAAGTAGAAGAATTATGTGAGGAAGAAAAACTAGGGCAAACATGATTTATATGTATATTTATAGTCTGTGCATGGATGCCAAGTGTTTGACTCTCGACTCAAATGTTCAGTTGCGTTGTTTGCTACTGAAATTTGTTTATTTGCATAATATTAAAGATTCCATCTCTATAAAAAGGCAGCCATTAGAACACACTAATATGTCACCTCATAAGTTGGTGTTTTCAAAGTGCTGTTTTTTCTTTTGCCTTAAATTTTATGAATATGCAAATACTCAAAGAACACATTAATGATCACACAAATACTTTCACCATATTTCTGCTTTACTATTTTTTTCATCAAGAATGGATGAGTAAATCCATGTATTAGATAAAGTATTAGAGTAAATGTACGATGGAATGATTGAGTGGAAATCTATCAGCATCTTCTGCAAAAAGAGTAGAAAGGAAAAGTGTCCTTAAAGGGCTGTGGCCGCGAGGAGCTGACAGTGTACAGGACCCCAAAATAAGTCTAGTAAAAGACTGGTATCCTAATTAAGCAATAAAATACTGAGAATAATATCCATAACTACTATTGGGGGGATTGCTCATAAAATGACTCATTTCATCTTGTCCTTTTTATTATTTAAGGATGTGAGTGAGCCGTCTAATTTAAAAAAACAAAACAAAAAAAACAACATATTCATGAAAGTGTAACCAAAACATGACGTTAGCGCCCGTCCAAGTTATCAGGAGTGGATCTGCTTTTTCCTCCAACACATTTCACACCAGGCTGATGCATAATTGTCCTTCTGTTTGGCCAGAATGTGGATACCAGATAATTGAGACATTAAAGAGACGGAAGCCAATACGGTGTCCAAAATCCGACCATGTTTGTTAATGTTTGCTAATGTGTGTGCCGTCTGTCTCTCATTCACCCTTCAAGGCCGAGAGGCTTCCCAGTTGTCTCAATGTATTTATGTTTGGCAGTGGATTGGGTGTAGGGACCCAGCAGTTTAAGGATTATGTGTCTCCACCCTCTGTGTTCGTCCACTGCTGCATTTAAAATGTCTCCAAAAAGCAACAAAAGCAAAATACCTTTATACATTTGGGCTATGCATTAAACTGTGCAAGGTCATGAAGCTTAAACTTGTGAATCTCATTTGAGCTTTACATTTAAATAAATGCATACAGATGAGCCAAAAATTTACGTTAAGGCTAACAACTCATGGAAATGGGAGAAAATAACTTCTCTTTGTCCCTTTTACATTGAAATTCTTTAATATTCAGTAATTGCTGAGTTTGCATAATGTGCCTATATTTGTCCTATTTTTTTTTAGATATGTGTAAATGAAATGTACTGAGTACATGTAAACAGTGTATGTTAGAGTTGATGGGACAGAAAAAATGGGAAAGCACATTTTCTTATCATTTGGAACTGAATAAGTTGAATAATACCTATAATAGTTTTCTTATCTTATCTAATGTCAGTTTTGTATCCAGATAATTATTTTTATATCCTAGGTTTTATAGATATTTTGTAGAATTTTGCATGGCTGTGTAATACTTTACCAATTAGTTATAATGATCTTTATCACATAGCTATTCAGTATATCGTACAAGGAGAGATTTACTTATTTGCTCATTAATATTTGAATTGTACTCACTTCTAGTTAGACACAAACCTGTTCGAGGCTGGGCTTCTTTGCAGTGCAATTCGTTGTGTACATTTGATCAAAAACACTGGTCTAGTTGCTTTTGACTTAGTACTAGTCCTACATATCCTAGGAACTGCTTGATTGAAATTCTTCATAGCACACCTTAGCACCCATACTAATCTCTAATTGAACAAAAGTGATTGCTCATTTAGTAGTTGTTTTGAAACGTAAACCTGGATTTTCCATATCCTGCTTGCTTCCCCAGGAGCTACTGTTTCAACAACATCAAATTATAACTGAAGTGTGTTTTTTTGTTTTGGTTTTAATCTACTTTGTATTTGCTATTAAGAGGTAACCACATGGGATTGTCTTATTGTCACGCATCGCAGATTCATTTGTTCAAATGAGAAGTGCTGGAAAAATCCTCACATCCGCTGCAAATCCACACCCTACCCATTCTGAGTTGAGGCCAAGAATAGCTAAAGATGTTTATACTGAGTAAATGTCCTTACTGGTCTTTTAAACCTTGGTGTAAGCAGGAAAAATGTTCTCCACAGTGACATCAAGGGACATTAAGGGCTATTCACACAATGTTCATGGCTTCAATCAATTTATTCACCTCATTGCCTCTCTCTTACTTCAACAGTGTGGACCTGGTGCATGCCCAGCTGCATGTGTGTGAGGGCCGCAGCCTGCCAGAACTGAACCTCAAACAAGACAAGATCAGGGTTAATGGCTGTGCGATCCAGTGCAGAGTGACGACCGAAGATCCAGCCAGAGGCTTCCAACCAGACACTGGAAGGATTGAGGTAGGGTTAATCCTAAAATGACTTGGAGGCCCTTTGCCATACTGTGGTCAGAGTGACTGTATGTGGTCTTCCTTGACACATCACTTATAAATACTAGAGAAAGTCAGCAGGTTGAGAGATTGGTCAAAAATATATTCTTCATAGTAGTTTTACAGGAAAGAAAGACAACTCTCAGTAATCGAGCCTTGATCATTTATACAATTCGTTTTTATCGCTGTGTCAAGTCAAACAAATAGCCCATCCTACTTCGGATAACAAGTCACTGCTACAACTACCAGTAACACACATACAACATCAAAAACATTACCTGAAAAAATCTAATTCAAACTATGACTAAATAAAGGGCTTTTTTCCTCATCTTCCAGGCCTTTTCTTAAAGTGGCTAACTGAAATGTTTTTATGTTAATAGCCACCTCAGGCATTGTGCATCTGATTTTATCTTACAAAACACACTGTGTGGTTCTCAGTAAAAAGGAGCTTAGAAATCAAATTAAACTAATTTTCTATATCACTGAGATGGTGCAATAAACATGTTCTTGGCACATTCTTTCTTCAAGACTGAGATATTGTCCAGTTTCAACATTGAGTGGTAAAATGCCAGATCCCAGCTTGGCACATTAAGCTATTTGCTTCTAAGATTAATTATACAACATAATTCTCTGTTCTTCTAATCATGCTGTAGGCAGTCTTAGTTTGGTACACATGTCTTTTACACATCAGCCTTGCAAAGCAACATGGCATCACTTTAAAGTCTTTTTCCTTGCCACATGTCAAATGTAGCCTATGTATATTTTGCTAAACATCAAACATAGCCTCCCATTGACATTTAGGCTTGTGAGTCAAGCATAAAATCAACTTTTGAGAGCTTGGTTAATTATGGTGGTGTGGTGAATCAGCCATACATACCAGCAAGTGAGAGCAATGAACTAAACGTTGCAAAGAGCTGCAGTGTGGATTGTTGATTCTCAGTGGGGTCTATAGTACAGACCTCTCTTTCACGTCACAAACAGTTGTTTGATTCTGTGTTGATATCAAAAATATCACTTAATGGAGCTTAATGATAATGAGAGATAACAGAAGGTCCTCATCCAAATGTGTGTGCATGTGTGTGAACATGTGTGCACACAGTCACAGCTGCAGAGATCAACCAGCTCTTGAATTATAGGTCTGTCACATTGATACATATAGTACTTTTAGCACTGCAATTATAAACGTACATTGCCATATGGGGTCTGTGAGTGGGATTACATAATTTCCCTGTGTGCATGTGTATTTCTGCATGACTGAATGAGTCATCTTAATCTTATTGTATTTAGTTTATAAATGTTGGGTTTTTTTGTGTGTATCTTCAGTATTTTTTTAAATGCTTGGAGTGGCAATGAGTATTGAGAGTGTGTCCATGTGCCTTATGGGTGGGAGGACCAGTGATTTTCTTGACAGTGTTCACACATGAGAAGACACAAAGGTCACTGTATGACCGCTGCGTGTATCTGTCCACAAGCACGTCCTGTACATCTACACACCATATATGCCATTTCTCATTGTGTCTCTACAAATCTCTCTGTTGTTGATTAGGTCTGATCCCTGGATGCTTTTTGCCGTCAGGTCCTCTTGCCCTTCACCCTAGACTGTACACCCACCCACTCTTCTTGTCTTGCTTTTTTTCTCTCCCTACCATCTTATGTTCTCTCCCTTTCTTTAATGTTTCTTTTTGATAATTCTCTGTTTGCTTTTATAAGGGCTAAACAGTGTCACAAAGCGCTTTACAAATAATTAAATGGTAATGAAAGACACTTTGAATCAATAAAAATGTCAGATTAGAATTAAACCAAGGTTTAATGAGAATTAAAACAGCCATTTGTCAGAATAAAAACAAATTGAAGCGTGTTTTAAAGATAACGTTAAGGGATAATGGTGATTTTGACCTCAGCAGCGCACCGTGCTTAAAAAGCCTTGGGGGCTCAATGGCTACAACTGGGTTATGTTTAGTCTGTCGCCTAGAATCTGCTAAATGTGGTAGGCTTCTGCTTGAGGGGAAGAAAAAGTGAAATTAAATCTTTAACAGTGCATCAAAGCTAAAAACAAGTAATATGTTGTGTGATGTGCACACGTCAGTATCCTGTCAGAATTCTGCAATCTGCAGCTGAACAGTGCGCACAAGCAGGCAAAGGAAGGAGATCAACGTTATGATAATATTGTCTGCATGTCAAATTTATTGCAATTGAAAAACTATAAATTCCTGGAGAGCCTCTGGTGTCTTACAGTTTTCCCCCCTTCTTACGGCTCGTTGTGGATGCTGGGAATAAAATACTGCCTTTACTGCCTGGTGACTTAACATAGTGATTTTTGACTCCTTGGATGTGATTGAATTCGACTTGCACCGGTGGCTTTCCAATCAAACAAATCATCTGTCTCTTGGTTCTGAGCAAAGGGGAGAAATGAATGGTTGTGTTGTGCACACAGATTTATTTCAATTGAATTTGAGTGAATTCATTTATCATCCAGTGCTAGTTGTTTTAGTTTATTAACAGTGTACGTGGCTCAGTGATCAGACTGAATGTTTGTTTTTTAACATTAGCTTGGATAAATCACTGCATCCAGATGAAGCATTTATCTGACAGTTTAGCTTTTTGAGCTGTATTCAAATCAAAATTATACATTTCGGATTCACCTCTGGTATGGGCATGCAGGCCAAAAAAAAAAGAAGCTATTTAACATCCGCCTTATGTGACATTCTCACTTTCAGGGTGCATTACTTCTCACTGTGAAAGTAGCTGCTTGCACTGTATAGTGCTTTTCTCAGCAACTTGTCTGAGACGAGTAGCCATGGAATAGCTTGTGACCTTCCCACTTCAAGGACTTTTCTGCCTTGTTTCCACCCCACATCTTTCTCTTCATCTCCCCCTGCACCACTCGATTCTTCCCTCCCACCTACCACTAAAATAATGCACATATTTTCCGCATCCTTTTCCCTCTCCTTCAAGCACTGTTTCTCCTCTTCTTCCACCTATTACCATCTTTCTCTCCTCCCTCTGTCTGTTCCCCATCTCTCTTCCCTAATTCCCTCTATTTTCTCAAGCTCTCAACACCATTTAGCCGTGTAGTTGAGCTATGAAACGCATCATCATAGCACCCCCACCACCCCCACCATTACCATGCAATATGAATGAACTAAACACAATCAGCACAGGAAAGCATGGGTGGAGGAATGCCACGTTTGAGGGACAGATTAATAAATTATTACCGAAGGGTTGCGACAAGGTCGGCGACTGAGTGATGCAGTGAAAGGTGGAGAGCAGGAGGGTGAAAAAGTTGTCACGCTATGGGCTTTTGGTCAATGGAGGCACCCAAACCATCTTGGATAATTTGCTTTTTTAAAAATTTGCTGGAGGTGGAGTCACATCTGTACCCTTTTTTTAAAAGAGCAGATACAAATGGCCAAACAGCATAGTTTGAAGGATGCTGTAGCAGCATCAAAGTTTGAACTAAAACTCGTGTTGTGATAGCACTGTTGAAACTGCTGTCTGTCACTTGCTCAGTGTGTTCAGTTCTGTGAAAGAGCTGCTATGTGTCAGCAGGAGGGGAAGAGTCATACACTGTAGTCAAAACGCTACTTCTTCCATAAACCAAAAAATCAGCCATCCTGTACATAGCACTACAGTATGGAAGAAGTGAGGGAGACAGCACAACAGAAGGAGAGATGAGAAATGGGGTGTTAGAAATAGAGAAAGTAAAGAAAACGGATTAAATGGATTTTCCTTACTGTAGCGACGGTAGACTGATGGGTGTTTGTGAACAAAATGGAAGCAAAGATCTAACAGGTGAAATCAGTAATGGGTACACCCTTGTTTTGCGTCTCTTTGACTTAATTTTCTGTTCTGGAGAAAATAGATAAAGGAAAAAGGCATATGAGAGCTTTCTATCTTGTTCTCTCATCTCCTTTTAATGGAGGTTTCAGAGCAGGTGAAGGAGATAGGCAGCAAGAGAGAGAAAGCAAAGAGGATACAAGACAGCAACAGAGGTAAACGAGGTAGAATAGATTGTGTGCACTGAGAGAAGTAGAGCCATAATAAAACCAACCATTACTTTGCTTTTATTTAAAGGTCTGACCCACAATTGCAGTGTTGTGCCCCCTGCTGTGGCACTGTGTCTGCACTATGACTGATTGTTGCTGTTCAATGCAGTGCAAACGGTTTTCTATTCAATCAGTTCACAATCTGAATGCATGGTGTTAATCAACATTTAGGTGGTGAAGAAAAGAAGACTGCACTTACAATTGAACACTGAACCATCTATTTTTATCATCAGTGGACAAAACTATGTCAATTCAAGGCCTTAGTGTTTTTGGTGGTCTTCATCAGCAATAGAGTTTCTGGAGTTGTTGTTTCATCACCCAACCCCACTTCCTTTCTTTGTATTTCATGTTCCACCAGTACCTGAACACAACCCCACCAATGTAGTCCCTTTCATACCTGTTTCCAATCTGAACACCCAGTGAGCTGTTGCCCCTTGTGGCTGATAGATCTGTTTGCCCAGGAATAATTGCTGGATTGTATCAAACTTTGCATTAAAGATTGGCCTCCATGAGTTTGATATTGGTTTTTATGGCTATAATTCCATCAATTAGATATCTTTTTAGGTTTTTTTACAACAAAAAAATTCATTTAAAAAATAAACGTCAAATTAAAAATGTATATGAGTTACAATAAATGATCTATGATCCTATAAATATTAATCTAGCTTCAGGCAATACTGAGGACTAGGAAGGAAAAAGTAGTTTTTAATTGGCAGCTCTGTGAGTGAAGGAGTTTTGTTGCTGCTCTGGGAGCGAAACATGGTCTGGTAAAATGCTGGAGAAAGATTTGCACGTGGCGTAAATCATACTGTAATATCTTGACTAATAAGTGGAGCATTTTCGGCTATACTATCTGCATTTTCCTTAAAAGTTGTCTGAATAAGATGTTAATGCTTTAACGTGTGAGGCAGCGTACAACAGAACA